CGCGTTTGCGTACTTTGACAGGACTTTTTTCAGCAACGCATTTGGTGGGCCCTCGCACTGTGAAGCGGGTTTTGCGTGGTTGTCTTGGCCGCGAGGTCCTTTAGCGAACTTTCCTGATCTTCGCGGGCGCGCCAATGAAAGCGGACATCGACGAGCTCAGAGACTTCTTTGATGTTGCAATTGCCAGTTTATTCGACTGGCCTTCGAAAGTGGCTGTGTGTCATATACACTACCTGAAATCAACGCCGGTTCGTTGGGACACGACTTGGCGTTTCACCCAGCGAAATCGCAGAGAATCGGTCCCCGCGCTCTTAGATACGAATGACTGGTCAATCGCTGCAGGTAGACAGCCAGCGGTGCCCATCGTCTGCGCATGGGTGGCCAATGAGCGTGTGAGGGGTCAATGGCTGCGCGCGTCGGCTCCGAGTGGTGACCAAGAGGCGGGAAGAAAGAGCCCAAATTTGGGGTCGGGCGAACAGGTTTATTTGAGGTATTGAGCACTGTAGAAGATGAGGTAAGAGCGCAATCCTGGGGAAAAACGTACTGCCGCTCCCAACGTGGGGGAACCAGTAGCCCGTCGAGCGACCAGGGCGCTATGGCGCCTGATTCCACGTGCTAAGTGGCGATTGCTCAGCGCTGCTGGCTATGCGTATCTCATGTGGCGGTCTCCACCACGCGAGAAGTCCAAAGCGTGGCAGTGCGACGAAGCGTGGCCCAAATCAAAGCCAAGACGTTCGGCTTGGCATCGAATGCCTGTTCAGCGTTGATAGAATGAGGGAGGTATTTGATGCCCAGATCCATATCTTGCGCACAGCCACGCCCACTCCTCTCTCCCCTTGCGTGCTTGGGGTGGAGCTTGACCATGCTGAATCAGGAAGTGCTGTACAATGTCCCCTCTTCGTATCACCTTGTCTTGCCTGACCGAGTTCCGGTCGTGTGGCACCCCTCGCAACTGTGCTCAGTGCAATCTAATGTGATAGGCTGACTCATTCGTCGCCTTGTGAAATGGGACCTGGGTAACGTGGAATTTCTAAAGGCTCCACGTGAAGCCGTTTGCTGGGTACGCGAGGCGTACGTGATCTGCTTCGCTGTCGTTGCCGCTCTTTCCGGCCGCGCGTGCGGAGATGATCTGCACCGCCACAGTACGAAGGAACGATCACAGGCAAAGTCTTGTTGTCTGGTGCAGATCGTCGCGCCAAGGCTGCCCGATCGAGCAGCGGTACATGATACGCGTCAAGCTTATTGACTGAAAGCATAGCGAAGGCCTTTTTTGGACAGCTCAAGTTGGAGCAGACTGCTGGTGCTCACTAGTCTGAGGTCGCCATCACATGACGCCCGCCTTCGAGCGGTAAGACTTGCGTGGCAAAGATCCTGGTGACATGACGCAGCTGCAGTCGCATGACATCCAGCATTTTGGCGACCGCTTCGAGGCAAGAAACCAGTGGTCAATCTCGGTGCACCCCGGTCTCACCTCGCGGGAGCTGTGTTGCCCCGAACCTCGACCGACAAGCATTCACCAACTTTGTGATTACGCGGCGCTTGTTCTCCCCCTGCTCATCCAGAGCTGCACAAAACGACACCGTATTATTGCGCTGCGCTGTAAATGATAGGTCCCTTATGTCGTCGCAGTTTCGGAATCGAAACACATTTCGGGGCGGCGGATGAGCTCAGCAGCGCCACTCACTTCGACGAGTATTGAACTATTGATGCCATATCCGGCCAAGCAGTCGCGAGTGGTTGGCCGTTGGTCTGCGCATCCCACTTGGCAGACACTGTGGCTGCTCGTTTCCAAATCCAGTGCTTCTGAAAGGCGCGGGTTCCGTACTTTTGCGCTTCACATGAGTCTCATTCCTTGACACTTGTCGAAGCTGATGAGTGGTGTGAAGGGTAGAGTTCCCTTCGGACGCATACATGCACCCTTTGTTGACGTGGGAAACTCATCAACCCCTTGGCGCCTACCGATAAGCGAGCAGGTTGGCTCTGTGGCGTGCACGTGATCATGCCACACCGCGCCGCATACACGTGATCACCAAAATTCTTGATTCAACAAGATTGTGCAGGCTGGGCTAGCCGACCGTCCGTGAAGTTGAATTTGATCCCAAGACACGCGTTGGAGTTGTGACTTCAATCTCACGGCTCACGGCTCACGACACTCTCCTGTCTCCTCTGGCTTGCGAGCATCTCACGACAGTACCTTCGATACATCTCTATCGTGATCTAATCTCCTCTGCCTTCCGCTGCAAGAAGACTGTCAGCCAGACATTAGCGTGGAGGTAGGCGAGTGGCACATTATCCGTTCGCCCTTTTTGGCCAAACCCGGCGGAATTGCATCGCTTGCTTAGGTGAGTCAAAGCGAAGGGTGCGTTATGCGGTGGTCTGTATCTTCACTTCTAACATACCTCTGCGCTACGTCTCGCGATACTGTGTAGGCATTCCATACGCCACCACTCAGAGAGCGCAAAACAGCGTCGAAGCTGTCAAGGACTCACCGAAGGCCGGCTATTCATCCGCTCAAAGCCTACACAATGTCGTACAGCGGGCAGTCAGGCGCGGCAGCATTCACCCAAGGAGGAGGAGGTCAAGGAGGATCAGGCTTTGGAGGTGCATTTGGAGGGAGCAGGCAACAGACTGCGATGGAGTACATCTGTGCAGATTGCTCTGCCATCAACGAGATCAGACCACGAGAGCCAATCAGGTGCAGAGAGTGCGGTCATCGTATCATGTACAAGAAGAGGACGAAGCGTATGCTTCACTTTGAGGCTAGGTGATTGAGTGTAGGCTGGTGGAGGTCAGGTGCGAAAACAGCATCGAATCCTGCAAGGATCAAGACGCAGGATGGTATAGCATCATCACAACCATCGTACAGCGCCGACAAATCCGTCGCCACCACGCAGACTCTAACATCCGACCGCCGCAAGCAAAGGCACAATCGTCACCAGTCTCGGCCTCTTTGTGAGCGGTATGCGACTCCTTGGACGGTCTTTCGACTTCATTTGAGGCAGCTTCAGATGACCAGCCACCAATTTTTTGTGTCCCAAGTACTTTGAAATAGGGATACATGCGTCATCAGTCACGAGAGGAAACGGGTGTGCGCGCATCCGTATCCGTCTGAGGGCAAAGTGGACGCATTCACGCTCGGCAACCGTCGTACCTGAATGCTCGATACCGGGTAAGTCGTCTGCACAGAAGCGCTCGGGCGCGTCAAGACAGCCCGCCCAGGTGTCAGGAGAGCGGCTGCTCGATTCAGAACGTCAAAGGCCTTCGGCTGGGAACGAGCGTATACTTCGCTGTCACACTTGAGCGTTGCACGGGCCCTCGAACAAGGCCTGGAGATCGGGACAGCCGAGCCTAAAGCAGTCAGCTGTGAGGCGGCGGGTACGGCTCCTGTGAACAGCCGTGTGCACAGCCAACCTTTGGGCCTTGTCACGTGTGGTGGCTTTTGCACCACAAATCTCAGGACGGGATGATCATTTGCGTGACATTAAGCGGCAGACGCATCAGGTGTGTGGTACTTGTAGGCAGCGTGATCCAAGAGCTGGTACGGAAGCATTCTATAGCTCAGAAAGTCTCCTCCTCGTCCCCGAGAACGCCCTTCGGTCAGCCATGGAAGAAGTTTGGTGTCAATGCGCGCTGACGCAACATGAGGAACTGGCTTAGAGATTCACCTCTTGCCCCTCTGGCACTTCAAAGCCTTCCTCGGTCGAGTATAGAATTGCCTGGATCTGCTTGAGCGTTTCGAGCTCGAGGTTGTTATCAGCCGCGGGTTCCTCTCCAGTCTCAAGCAGCTCGAGTCGACCCTGGACCAACACCTCAATGTCGCGAAGCTGTGCATACATGCGAGCTAATCAGCAAACTTTACCAGCGCTACTGGCATGCTCTCGTGTTCGGCCATGTTCGGCCATAGCAAAGCACTCACCTTGGCAAAGTAAAAGTCGCGCTCCTTCTCGAGCGAGTCTACGCTCAACTTCATCTCGTCCATCTGACCAGTCAGCGCCGCGATCGTCTCATCCGGAATACCTCTGGCGCCAGCTGCGCCAACTCGAGCTCCTCTCGTCGCGCTGGCAGCCGCACCTCTCACTGGCGCTCTCGTAGCAGCAGCGACAGGTCTCGTCGCGGCCGGTCTGGTAGCAGCGGCGGGAGCACGTGCAGCCCCGCCCAAACGCGCACCTCCTACAGTCGTCGCCCCCAAAAGAGGTGGTGGTGCTGCTGGCGCCCCTCCCCTCCTGGCCTCAGGGTCATAATCATCATCTGGCATGTGCGCATCCCAGTACTTTTTGAGCCATTGAAGAAACTCCAAGTTGTCTTGCATCTTGCACTTGATCAACCTCTCCACCGGAATCGGCTGCGGAGTTCACGACGGGACGCAAGGGTCAAGTCAGCTCGCTTCGGGACCTCCTTGATGCTTTTCGTGAGCTTCAGTTGGACTTGGCATCGCCTCGCGTTACGCACCTTGTCGATTCGGTTCTTCTTGAACGCCTCCTGCATAACCTTGTAGTTGTTGACATATTCATACTCGGCCTTGGCTGCGAAGTTGAGCTTGTGAAGAGGAACGTTGCGGTAGATGCTATCGATGACCTGTGTGTATGCGGCACCTAGGGGGGAACATGGAGTACAAGAAGTCAGGACGCTGCTGTCACATCGCTGCAAGAGCGTCGAGCGCGCAAGCTACTCCTCGAAACGCAACGCACCCGTGCCGCACTGTTCCACCTTTGTGTAACCGATTTGCAACAACTCGTTGAGCCACTGGATCAGCTCCGTGCGTGATTCGCCCATCCTTGTGAGAGCCTCGAGGCAGCCGTTGGATATAGGATATCGTGAAAGTGTTTCAGGGGTCGCAGTCCATAGACTTGGGCCTTTGATGACGTTGACGCTGCTCGACGCTCCCTGCTGTGTGGACGTGAGTCACGAGTTTGGATTGCGCATGTGCTGATGGGAAGGTTGGATTCGCCCTCGGGAAATGGCGTGCCAAGACGCGCTCTCTGGTGTGTTGTTGTGCTCGTGCGCGATCGACATCACACGGCACCCACGCAAAGCTCGACGCGCCAGACGCGGGGCGAAAAGCCCACGTGGCTGGCTCGAGCCGAGAGCCTAGCGCGACGCATACATACAAGTATACCCGCGATGAATGGATCCACTCACTCACGACTCTTGACCCCCAAGAGCCTCAAGGTCGTCTCAACTCACAACTGTCACTCTCGACTCATCCATCCATCGGTCTTCGATCTTTCAGCCAGCCCTCAAACAACCACAGCAGCTGATGCGAGGCAGAATGCCCCGTCCAGCTTTTGACCCTCCAGTCCCTCGCACCATCTTGCACTCGATCCACTAGGCGAGTCTCCCGGAGAACGCCCATAGCGGCTCACCATGTCACGCTTCACCTGGACGGTCACTCGCCCCAGGGAGCGCCGCTGTTCTTATCGTCTCGAATGGGAGACGGAGGACCAGGCTCTGGCTCTGGTTCAGGCTTCGTTGTTTCAGCTCATGGCTGCCAGCCATCGCTTTGATTTGTACCCGGCCCACCTCCTATATCGCCGAGCCACTTTTGTGGACACGATTGAGGATCAAGTCTTTCGGGGAATCATCGCACCCGATGACGCTGATGCGGAGGTTGACGCTCATTGCGCTCGGGCTTATGAGTCGGCTTTCAAAGTTCAACAGTCCATCATTGCCCAAGTCAGCACTTCAATTGCACGAGTTCCCGCTGAGCGGATCAGCAGCATTGTCACACTGCCCGGTGACTTGGTGGCTTGGGCTGCCCCATACGTTGACCGGTGTTTGGGGAACACTCTTGTAATGGAGCTGACCTACGCCTCGCAAATTGCTTTTGATCAGCAAGACCGTCGCCAGTGGACGACCAAGCACGAGCTGTCCACGCAATGCTTGTCACCAGCATTGCGCATGGCGCAACACTTCGTCAATCAACTGTATGACAAGGACAGAGAGCAAGCTACCGCAGAGTCGCCTGAAGCTGCACGCGCTCTTGCGCACTGGATGCATGAGAAGGACATCTCTGACTCACTTCCCCCAGCGCTCATGACTGCCGCCACCACCTCGCGCTCAGCTGCACGGTGGGACTATGCTCTCTTCGAGAAACGTCATGTTGGCAACGACTGCACAGGTGGGTGCGAGGAGGCAGACCAAGGCAGGCCACATGCCTTTGCGTGTTTGGCATCCGCTTCCCAACCTGCCTCATGCCGAAGCTGACATTAACCCTTCTCTACACCTCTTGCACGCGCTTGCGGCCCTCAGATGCGAGCATTGTTGCTCTTGTAGAGGTGAAGCAATGGGTACCCCCGTCCCTCCTTGTCGATTTGCTGCAGCTGGCCAATCGACCAATCCCTGCAAGAGGTCTTGGTGTGACTTTGCAGGATGGCTGTGTTGATGGGGTTGCCGAGCGCTTGCTGGCCCAAGTCGTCCGATACTGCTACGACACGGGCGTCAGAACGGGGGCAATCCTTACAGGATCTATGCTGATGGTTATCGACGTGGATGGAGATGCGTCAGAGGCAATGCAAATCACCTTGCGAACACCGATCATTGTGGCCCCTAGCGCTCGTGAGGTTGAAGCAAGTCTTCCTCGGCCCGCTTTTGAGTCAAGGTACAGCATGCTTGCGCAGCTTGTCGCGTTCACACTTCATGCAATGGACCGTGCCCAGCGCCTCGGGCCACGTCCACCTCCCAGGGATACGACGCGGATGGTCGCAGCGTGGGTCAGACAGCACTCTCCAATCCAGCAAGTATCATGGCCCCAAGGTCAGGTTCAGCCTGGACCTGTCACGCGGTCGCGCACAGCTTCTGCTGACCAGAATGGTGGCCGCAGGTCTTACGAGGATAGAGCAGTCCTTGCCAAAGATCCGGGCCACGACGTTGCGAGATTGACACAAGCTGTCTTCATCGTCGACCGGCCTCTGTTTCGTGGATTGTGTGCAACTGTACACAGCGCCTCGTGCGAAGGCGCGGCTCAAGAGCTTCTTGCAAAAGTTTATCGGCGGCCGCACCCAGACGAGGTGTACTTTATGGACTTCACCGAGGATCGAATCGACGAGGTGCAGCTCGAATCGATTGCACGTCATGAGGCCACGATTTACGGACTTCTCTGGCCTGTGCAAGGTACTTGCGCGCCTCGCCTCCTGGCCACGCTTTCACGTCAGCCCGATCATGGGACAAGTGAACAAGAGCCAAGCGCAGAGTCCTGCTGCACAACAACTACACTACCAGCGTCCAGCATCAGCTCGCCAGGGTCCTCCAAGGAGCTTGGTGCCAACACACCTGCCCCCAGCGTGGGAGTGCATGCACTGTTACTTGAGGATGTCGGCAAGCTTCTGGCCTCTCACACTTTGGAAGATTTGCAGCATACACTTGCGACCTGCGGCAACACACAGGCACTTTCCAGCAGCTCCTCAAAAGAAGTGCAAGATAAAGTTGTTGGCGCCATCCAAGCTGTCTTTGTGCATTCTGCTCAACAAATACACAGATGTGGTGTCCTCCACCGAGATATAGCCGCGAGGAATATGTGTCTCAGAGTGGTCAATGGGACGTTGCAAGGCGTCTTCATAGACTTTCACATGGCCTGTCCTGTAAACACGTTCGACCAGCCCAAGGAAGCTTTCGAGCAAGAAATAAAGAACGTCAGCGACGAGGTAGAACGTACGCTGCTAAGGCTCTTCAAAGAGAAGGCGAAGCACTAGGCTGACCTTTCGTTGGAGGGTGAACAAGGCTGACCTTTCGTTGGAGGGTGAACAAGGCTGACCTTTCGTTGGAGGGTGAACAAGGCGAAGCAAAGGTCCTTCACATACATACAACCTGAAACCAAATCACCTTAGCATTTTTCAGACCAGCCATTCTCGGCGTCACCGTGAGCTACCACTCAAGTCACTTTTACACATGCATGTCACCCTCCAATCACAATGACCCGACGCAACCGATGGCTTCTCGCTGGAAATTTGATTGCGCTATTCTGGAGTGTCTGTGCGCTCCATTTCATGGTGACGACGGCGACTGCGATTATACGAGCTGGGAAAGTCGAGGTGGCCGTTCGAGCCGAACCGGCTGACTGGCCATTGCGAATCCGTATGGGGCTTGCTCGCTGGGGCTCGAGTGTGCGATGTCGCTGTATAGCTTGTCCTTTCGATGTGCACGGATGCCCATCCTCGCGAAGCATGTGGCAGTGCGGTAAGCTGTGCGCGGACCTAGCGAGTCTCTTTGTAGTCTTGAGTGCTTAGTTGGTCGTGAGCGTGATGATGATACACACGTCCGAGTATAGTCTGAGTGTGGGTGCGCGATGTGTGAGTTCTGGTGGAAAGTTTGGAGTAAGACAGGGCCACGTGCTGGGCATGATCCCGCCCCTCTTCAACCTTTCTTTCCTACTCTTCGCTTCACCTTTCCCTTGCTTTTGTTGAGTGATTAGGTGTACAGTACTCGTTCGTAACTATGCATGCAGGGTCTATATACGTCGCTGCGAAGGTGTGAGTGCGCGG